AGAAATTTTATGATGCCGTCTCAATGCAATTGTTTTACAATTAATTCATTTTTTTAAATATCTTTATAAGAAGCTCTTCAAACAAAATGAAGTGCTATCTAATGGGTTTCAGCAATAAACTATTAAGGACAAGCACTTGGTGAATAATGTTGTGCTTTGGGGACATTCAGCCATTACTTAGTAATTTTTATGAACCTTGTAAATTCTGATGCAAAAACCAAAAAGAGATGTGAAATTTTGGAATAAAATATAGGAAGAATGAACTGTCCAGTGAGTCGCATGCTCCACAGGATACTTGTGAAACACAGAGCACTTTTAGTCTATACCATAAGCATCTTACTGCAGTTGGTGCCCTTCATTAGCCTAAAAAATACACGTGGAAGAAAAAATCCTATATGAGATGCAAAATAATTCATTTGTTTTTTCACTGAATTTCATCATGGTCATATCCTCTTGCAGGTAGATTTCTGCAATAAGTTGATTCATGCTAAGTTGCAACTTGAAGTCACTGGAACAGGCTGCCCACAGAGGTTGTGGAGTCTCCTTCTCTGGAGATCTTCCAAACCTGCTTGGACGCAGTCCTGTGCCACGTGCTCTAGGTGACCCTGCGTGTGCAGGGGTGTTGGACCACATGACCTCTAGAGGTGCCTTCCAACCTTAAGCATTCTATAATTCTATGAGTCTGCTCTGTACTATGGTTGTATTTTACAGAGCCCATTAATGACTTGTCTGACTGGCAGTAAAAGGAAGAAAATGCATAAAAAAAAAAAAATTACACTTTTTCTGTTGCCAACAGAAAAAGAGGGAATGTACTAGGGATCAATTACTGGTTTGCACTTTATAGAGAAAGTCAGTTGGAAGTTTTAGTTATTTTTATTGCTTGTTATTTCTTACTTATTCAGATGTCTACAGGATAAAGTACTAGGACAATATGATTCAGACTATATTGCTAATCGAAAAGAAAAAGTTCCTCTTGAAATGTCTGAAGACTGCTTGTACCTAAATGTGTATTCACCCAGTGGTGCTGGAGAACAGGAGAAGCTGCCGGTAAGCAAAATCCCTATAAAATCTCAGAAAAACTTGATTGCCTTTGTACCTCATGGAACAAGTTCAGCTTTAAACTTCTAAACGATTCCCCAAGATTAAAATAACTTTGTTTGATTTAGAGGAAATCAAATGCTTGATTTCCTCTGAAAAGTCAGTGGACATGATTCAAACGTTTAATAAAACGAGTACCATTTTGTAAGTCTGCAGATCTCATATTCAAAAGAAATCTACTGTTTGTGAAATGCCGTCTGATCGCATTGTGAGTTGTGAGTGAAATGGCATAAAATATTCTATTTCGTTTTACATTTACTTTGTTGAACAAGCACCTCTCAACTGTGCTTTTTGTTCATTTGTTTTTCGTTCTTTTATTATAAATATACTTTTCCTTTTCAGGTCTTTGTATGGATCCACGGAGGTGGATTCGTTTTGGGAGCGGCTTCGCCATATGATGGTTCAGCATTAGCAGCCTTTGACAATGTGGTAGTTGTAACGATTCAGTACAGATTAGGTATTCTTGGATATTTTAGGTAAGTGGTTCTATCCTAATCTTTGCTATGGGATTTCCAAAATTAAGTCCTAAAATAGATTAAAAACTAAAGATTTTTTAATTACACAGACAACATTTGAGAACAACACAAGAGTCTCAAGTCAAATTCAGAATCCATTCTTGTTTGATAGCTGGACTTATCTCAGCCCTTCCTGAGCCACTTCTTGTTCAGTTGTGTTAGAGAGGTTCCTTGGCAGCTCATTTCTTTTACCACAGATTGTATTTATCTCTACTTTTTCTTTCATCAAGCATTTAAATAAATGCTCCCCTACGTTTTTTTGGTTTTTTTTTTTTGTTTGTTTTTTGTTTTTGTTTTTCCTCTCTCTCTAGCACTGGTGATGAGCATGCCCAGGGGAACTGGGGTTATTTGGATCAAGTAGCAGCTCTTCGATGGATTCAGGAAAATATCATCAAATTTGGAGGAAATCCAGCATCCGTCACTATTGCTGGAGAATCTGCAGGAGGGATCAGTGTTTCTGCTCTTGTAAGTTCACAGAAACCATTAGTTATAATCACTCTAAAAAAAAATACCATTCATGCTTATTTTTAGTATCTGAAAGAAAAGTCAGGAAGAGAGAAGTGATGGTTTTGTAATAGATTTATATTGTAAAGTCTTAGAGACCACTTCAGTCCATAAGATATTGTGATATAAAAGCACCTTCTGGCTGATGAAAATGCTCTATACCCAAATCTTCTTGTTCAGATCCAAAGTGTTGTTTGTCATCTACTAGTCTGAATTCTGTGGGATTTTGAGGCTTTTTTTTTCCCAAGAACTGTAAAACCAAAATTCATCCTTGTGAGAAAAGTGCTTTTAGAGGATGCCCTCTTGCCCATTTCCTTCATGTTGACAGTCACTCATGCAGTTACTCAAATTGAATAATTGTGATAATGTGTGAACCAGATGTGCATTTTGAGACCCAGTGTTGATGTAAAATCT